TTGGCGAGCTTGGGGTCCGCGCTTGGGGCCATGGCAGCCTGGAGGTTCTTCACAAGACCGGTCATGATAGCCTCGTTGTATGCGGAAAGCTCCTCGGCGATGTCGTCGGCCAGTCTGGCAAGCCCGATCAGGGCAGTGTGTCTGACACCGACATCGGCATCGTTGAGCAGAGCGATAACATGCGGCATGATGGACTTGACCTGCGAGGCAACGAAGTCCGGCGCTCCCTCAACGACCGTACCGAGAGCGAGGATACCAGCCTTCCGGTAGCCAACTTCAGGCGAAGCAGCGAACTGGGGTAATGCGTCGAGCAGGGGAACAATGACCTGGCGAGGAGGGAGATCGGTGGCGAGCTGGTCCAGCAGAGCCAGGGCGGATCTAGCAGGACTCATCTCATCCTCATCCTCGTCGTCGTCGATCTCAGTCAGGATCACCATGCTCTTCTGAGTGAGCAGCTGGCCCATGTCGCGCATGCCCTGAATCTTCATGCGTCTGTAGCGGACGGTCTGCGCCAGGAAGGAGAGGGCCTGCGAACGGACATCGTCGTCGGCCTGGGTGTTTGCCGCCAAGTCGATCATGAACTGGACGAGGTCCTTAAGGTACTGTCCCAGCAGCGCCGACTCGTAGGCCAGGAATTGCTGGAAGACCTCAAACGCCTGGCCCGTCTTCTCGTCGTCGCCGGCCTGCACCGCGTCCTTGAGCACATCCACCATGGCAGGGAGGAGGCTCTGCAGCGCGGCGACTTCCTCCTCGTCCTCATCGGGCTCGAACATCAACAGCATGGCGCCGATTGACATCATGGTGTTGATGCGGACATCGGCGCTCTGCGGGTCGCGGATTGTGTGGCTGAAAAGCTCGAGCAGCTCCTTCGTCTTCTCGCTGAAGGTGGTCGGGTTTGCCTCCAGCAAGCTGAAGATGATGTATGATCCCACCTCGCGCTGGCCAACATCGGCGTTGCCGGCGAGCTGGAAGAGGGCGGGGAGGAGGTCGGGCCACTCGTTGCCATCCTCGAAGTCAATCGTGGCGATGGCCGCGATAACCCGCGACTCGGCGTGGCGGCACTTGGGGTTCGTCTCCTTCATTGTCGCCTGGACGAGGTGCTGTCGCACGGCCACCTTCTGCTCCTTGGGGATCTGCTCCCAGTGCTTGGGCACCAGTCTGGCAGCCTGAACGGCCGCCTGTTGCCGCACTCCGAAGTCGTCATGTGTTGCGATGATCTCGACGAGGAGCAGGAGAGACTCAGGCTTAGAGTAGTAGTTTTTCTGCAACTCCGCAGTGATTGCCTTGATCTTCTGCGTGTCGGCTGGGAACGACGACTATGTCAGCAAGAACAGGCAGCAACGAAGGGCATCAAGCAGCTAAAACTTACGAACTTGCGACTCCTGGAGGAGCGCGGCCAGTCTTTGCTGGTCCATGATGAAGAGAATGAAGGAAAAAAGAGGGGTATCTAACGAAAAGAGACCCAGAGGTCAAACGAAAAGACGCTCGAGGGCACACCGCACTTATGTGTTGTCGCGGATGGGAGAGGAGGACCCTGAACCAGAATTTTTTTTGATTTTACAATTTCCAGTGTGGATCGCGATAAGAGTTTTGTCTGGAAAATTACCGCCACGGACTGCGGGGTAGGAGGGGTCCTGCTTGACACGTGGGGCTAAAGTGGCTTTGACGAGGGAGCTTGCGGCAGGAAATTTTCATGTGGGAGGGAAATAAAGTAGACGCGGCATTGGCACCAGTACAGAGTAACAATCCTCAGCCTCTACGACACTGTTTATACCATCGCCTTGGGACATTTAGGATAGAGAGTCCTCGTAGAATGATGCAATAGCATTGCTGTAACTTACTCTTCCTCATTCAAACAGCTTGCAAGATAACAAAGATGGGCGGTGCTTGTAGCAATGTACGCACTGTTAGTAGTTGACCATGTAATGGCTGGGTCTACTTGTTTTCCATCTCCAGCTTCGGAGGGAAAGTCAAGAGCTGCGGGGCGTTGTCAAGTGAATGGGAGCAGCCATCATGGAAGCAACTTTTATTTTGGCGGGGCAATTTCAGCGGTAAACATTTTATGTCCGGTTGCACCGCCTACAGTAGCTCAACTAGCACAGTTTTGCGCACAGAAGAACATGGTCCTTGATTTCTGGGCTATTGCAGAGGAATGTGTGTTTAACATGTTGCTCAACCTTCTTCGGCCCGAAACCGACAAGGTGGTTCCCTCTCCCACAGTACCTTTGCATTACCGTAGCAAGGACGGGAATAGCAACAGCTCCACTAAATGTTAAGTGAGACTGCGAGTTAATTACAGTTCTGTCATGCAGCTTTTGCACTTATCCGATACACCGTGCTAACCAGCGAATTTCGAGTCATGATCAGGAATTTTCAACCACCAGTCTCATTTATCCAATGGAAAGCTCCTCGAGATGCCGACTCTTTAGATATCACAAGGAGACAGCACTTTCTTCTCCCCAGCTGAAATGACGAAGTGGTCAACTGATTGAAGTTACAAAATAGCGTCTGCAACCCACTTGGAGGCGCCGCTACGGCGTGTGCCGTGACCCAAACAGCCGGCTCGGGCCTAGAAGCATTAGTCGAACGCCGTAAGGGTGGAGAGTCCGTAATGTAGGTTCCGTGGAATATGGTGCAAAGCTGCGCAGTAATTATATTGCCCTCATCTATGTCAACCGTGTCTGCCTGTATGATCTATACCTACAATTGCTATATGCCAGAACAAAGGAAACGGGGAAAGGAAAGCGGTAAAGGAGACAAATACAAAACAAACAAAACAAACAATCCTCCGCCCAATCTCACCTCTTGCCCGCAAATTCCAGAAGACCAACCCCATCCCGCACACTTTTCCCTTCATTGACCCCCCCAAACCACCTCTGTGACTTCAGGTTAGCCCCCGTTCAGTCGCTCCCGGGGAGCAGGTCATCGTCTCGCAGATGCAGAATACCCATTCCCACTGTGGCCCCGGCCATACCCGCTATCATACCCATACTCCTGCTGCCTTCCATGACCTTGCACACCACCATTCGCACCTGTGCTACCATCAGTGGTTCCATCGTACGGCTTCGCGCGTCCCCCCTTATTCAGTCCTCCCGTCCCATCCCGGGATACCATGGGGTATGTGCTCTCCGCATCCCCCTCCAAGACTTCCCGACTAGCCATTCCCGCGGTCTGGTTGTATTTATACCCAACCAGCACCTTGCTAGGATGGACGTACGCAAACACCGCAGACACCAACCACATCAGCGTACTATCCATGGCCAACAAGTAACCTTCCTTTTTCATCAGTTCCCCATCGCTTCCCATGGCGTACTCAACCATTCGGTAAAGTGACCGCACAAGGATCAACAGACTGGTCACATAGAGCGCCAGTATTAGTTTCTGCCAGTTGGTGCTCGTGGCTGTTGGGGTAGGCCGTTTCGTGATCCGAACGTGAAAGATGATGGCCGTCACCACGAACAGACCAAAAAAGATGACTTGAATCCCCAAACCGGCAAGGATGACGTTGTTCCCCAGGTCTTGGTCGGATTGGGACTTGGCTTTTGCTAGCATTCCGCCTCCTGCATACACACATTAGCAAGGGAGTCATAGGCGAGCGGGTTGGAAGCAGAAAAAAAATGAGACGGGCGGAAACATGAAGGGGGTGGGGGGCCGGGGAGACCGTACCAGCACTCTGCGCCAGAAAACTTAACACATCGCCCATGACAAAGATTTTTGTCAACCATTTCCTCCTAATTACCGCGTGTTCCTCTGCATCGAGAAACATGATCAACCTCCCCAGGACCATGTAGATTGAAGCTGCATACAGTGTCGGCCCGAGGAGGATCAGCAAAGACTGCACGATGTATGGGGTCAAGGTCCATTCTCCAGACTCTTCGTTCGCGTTCACGCTGCGGCCTACGTAGCCTACTGCCTCGACTACACACGCACACACGGGACGTCAGTACAGATCGAATGTTTGTAGCGCTTTTTTGAGCTGGTTGGAGGGGGGGGGATAAAGGGAAGGGAACAGAATGGGAGACGTACACAAACACCCAATAAAGAAGGGTATAAAATACCACGTCCTCCTTCTGATCAACAGAAAGAGGTGGTATACAGACGCGAGAGAGAACAGGATGATAAAGATCACGGCCGCCGCGAACGAGGGGTCATAGTCGTAGAGGACGAACTTCTTGGGGGTAGCGGTTGATGGGTCGGACATCTTCACGTCAGTACGATCTGCCTCCTTGGTTCGTGGTTCGAACTTGCGCTGAGTCACCAGTTCTGAATAAGGTATGGGGACCTTTGACGTCCTGTCGGAACTGGATGAAGGGAGTGTTCAAGGGACGGCGAGGCAGGAGTGGGATCGCCCCTATATAAAGGGCAACGGTCTCTGGTAATGGCTTCCTGGGGAATGAGGCGGAGTACGAGGACTCCAAGCAAAGTCGACCCCCTCGGGGGTGATATGTCCCATTATTTACGCGTAGCAGTGGGCAAGGATGAAGATAAGCATGAATCTGCCAGCGGCTCTCTCCTTTAGGAATTAGGTTCCATCGACTCGGAACGCTCTACGATTGGCACACAGATACGCGGACACAGATCTAACGTGTCACCCTGGCCACGATCCCGTTCCAGATGTCAATGGAACACGCATGCGAATGGAACACAGGGTTATTATCAAGCTAAGCTGGGTATGGGTGGACAGGGCTGATACGAGCTTGTTTACAAGTACCATGTAGTAATACAGAATTGCAATGTTCTCTTCTTTTACGCGTATTACGTGGGTACCCAAATGCGGAAGACAGACATGAGAAAAATGGATTGAGCGAGAGCGGAAGGAAGGGGACCTGGAGTTTTATCGAGGCGCAGCAAACATTATGATTCTAACAGGGCTGCGTGCGGGCCGTGGGACAGCAAATACGCGTATTCGGTAACTTCCGACTGTCTTGCCCCACATCTAGTAGTTCAACGGTTGATACTACATAGGCCATTAAGTTTGGGGCAAAATTTATCCAATCAGAGGGCGTGTGGCTCAGTTGGTAGAGCGTTCGCTTAGCAGCATGTTGTTCCCACCGCATGCGAAAGGTCCTGGGTTCGATTCCCAGCTCGTCCATTGTTCCATTTATTCATCGTCATGAAATATCATGACTCTTAACTTTTGAATGATCTTTGTGATCTAAGATGTTTCCATTTTAATATCCTCCTTTACGAAGGCTGGGGCCAAAAGTGTTCAGGATCCCCCAATTCACGCACAGACCACACACTGCACCTAAAATGGCTTAGGCCTGCCCACTGTAATTACAGTGGGTTGCCTTCCAAATACACCTACCATAAAAAATCTACATCGTTAAGATTAACCACATCCTCTTCATCTTCACCTTCTTCCTTAACTTCTTTCATCCTTGGCTCTTTATGTAGCGTGTCATTTTTACATCACGCGACTTATCACGTGCCCCACGCCCCACCCTTTTGAACGGCTCCAATGTGACAGATACGCGTGGTCCTCGATCAGAAGCGCGGGGCTCTGCCATCCTTGATGGTACTTGAAAACCAGTCACGATAGTAATTAACTAGTGCTGCGTGATGAGTTGCTTGTGATCGAGCGATAGCGAGCAAGAATTATCGAGGAGAACGCAGCTGAACGTAACCTGGGCTGTGGGGGCCCGGAGCGGGAATAGTATAGATGCGGCGTTGGGGAATGGGAATGTACGACCAAGGGCCACTCGATGGGTATCTCACTTGGCCTCGACGGTGCCCTTATCTATTCATTAAGACGGCTTAGAATAGGTACACACTCCTCCGTAGGTATTCGGTCACCGTCACTCCCCAACCAAGTTCTGCAATGTTGCTTCATTCTAGGTACATATCTCCCGTGTATCCCATCCGTTCTGCTTCCGCCTAATGCACGGGGAAATCGAGTGGCTAAGGGCCCATTTCGTAGCCCTTTGGCTGCGGTGGCGAGTTCACCACCTTAGACTTGGCGTTATATGTACCTTTGGCGGCGAGTAGGAAATCGGCAATCCCCCGCATAGGAGGTACTTCGATGTATGGGGGAATGGGCGTCGTAACCACGGGCTCGTCGGGCCCGCGGAAATACATTTGTTCATTGTTCCAAAGGCAGACATTGAACACCGATACATCTGGAGAGACTCCACCGCCCTCGTACTTCTTCCAGTATTCCCTTTTCTTGCGCATCGACACGATCGCATCGACGGGGGTTTTAAACTTGCCATGGACCGCGCTGAATAAGACCACAAGCAAAAGACGTCCACCCTCGAAGGCCTCGGGGCGGAGACCGGCATCATGGCCGAAACGCTAAGGAGTGGATAAGTGCCAGCCATCTTTTCCGTATTCGCGACCGGGATACTCCTTCAGCATATCCTCGAGATAGTAGTTCTCCAGGAGGTACTCCCACAAGAGCTTCATTGGAGCAGAATCGCCCGTGGAACCGCCCTGGTAGTGCCGCCCTGCGTTCATCAGGTTCCAGGCCATTTGGTCCTTTATTTCTCCACGTTCATTCTTTTCCAGGTGCTAGAGAAGCGGAGGTAAGCATAGGTGATGCTTGATTAAACGTTGATGGTGACAAACATACCTTATCAAACTCATGTAGCTTAGGACTGGAGCCAGACATTTTGAACAGAAATCCTGGTATCGGCGGACTGGTGTGTTGTGTTGTGTGGTGTTATGGTGCAGGAGGAAAAGGACAGAGGGAACGCTGAAAAAAAGGTCATTTTATAGTTGGCGGGCTGAGGGCTCCTGTGCCCAACAATAATGTATTACGGAAGAAAAGAGACAATACTAAGACATCAGAGACTTACGGGAAGGGCGAGTAACGGATAGAGCTGAACAATAACAAGAGTGGTTCTGGTATTGAGCGGTGCTGGTGGTTACATGTTATCTTAGGCAGTGAATGAAAAAGCAGGTGTCTTAATAATAAAAGTAAGGACGGGTAGTTATCAGGTGATCGAAACATCTTATTACAGCTATAGCTTATTATAATAGCTTAGCATGCGACCTCATTAACGTGTGTCTCTTTAATTGTTGCTATCAGGTTGTTCACATGCCGCGGGGTGGCTTTGCCTCGTTAATTCACCCCCTTTTTCTGTTTCTATGGACACAGTTTCAGATACAGCTTTGTCTTTGCACGGGGAGCTTTAGACGTGGCACCGCTCGGTAGCCCGTACGGGTGGCCGACTAGCGCCGCGAAGGGGCAGGCCGTGCCTTGGATAGGTAATCAACTTCGAGGCTTTAGGTTTACTTACCAGTGAATCACTGTCAGACTGATCGGGGTAAAGAAGCAAGACTACCGTGCAGTGAAGGAGCCTCAAGCTAAGGAATGAATAGAAGTCATGGACGCATGTGGGGAAGGAGCAGGGGTCCGTGAGCGTTACTAGTACTGTCTGGAACTTCACTGATGAGGGAGTAAACGCCATCAATAAGAAGGGGTCCAGGCTAACAGAAATAAAACCGGCACTCGTGGATTTCAGGACAGCATCCATGTGAAGGAGGGGCTTGTCTATAGGGCCAAACCCGCATAAGAGGCCAATGTACACGAGTGTGCTAAGTACCTATGTCGCAGGGTGCTGCGGCTGCAAGCAGCATCTCCACTGCGACAACAAGCACCAGTGTCACGTCGGCATCACTCCCCACGGCGCCAGGTTTCCTCAGATAGTCCTGAAGATGCTAGATCTTAATGATGTTTCGCTGCATGCCGTATTATATCAGCAGTGATCTTTTTGATATGTCATTACCCCCCGAAAAGTCCATCATCTTACTGACGAAGCGTCTACTACACGCCATACGAACCCCCGTTTCGCCAGCATGACGTAGCAGCGGACATGTCGCTTGATATCGTATAGTGAGTTTGCCTGTTGGACGCACCACCGCCAGTCTCCTCACCGCATCGCTAGGGATGATAGACCCACGTCACGAAGACAGTGCCGAAAACATGACTGACAGACGTAACCAGACTGATGCTGGTCTGGTTTCCGCCCGACACCTGTTACTGTCTGTGTTGCGTCTGCAACTTCTGCGCGCACAGTACTCGCCGGTTGAGTTCTACTACCATGGCCGCTGCCCTTCCTTTCCTTATCATATTGTGGACTTGCACTGTGTGCATGACGGCATTTACCGCTACGGTCCGTTTGTTAGCAAGCATCCAGCGGCCTGGCAGGGGCGGGGACGTACAGTACTTGGTAACTGCAACAGTCGGTAACAAGCGAGTAGTGGTAGACTGCGCGGTGTATGTCGTCTCTCTGTGTGTGGATGTCCATGCATTAACCACATCTAGACTTCGCGGATCTTTTCCGGTGTTAGCAATACCGAAACCGAGCTGAGTAAAGGAGGCTGGATACGTATGTACTTAGTCCTCAGTGCTTCGTGCACGACACCCAAGGCGGGAGACTCCCAGAAGTCCACTGGAAGTGGCCCAAGGGGGTGGTGCCCCTCCACACACAGAGGTGATCCGTGCCGGTGGTCTCCGCCCTATGACTCCACCAATCCACGGCGGCGGAGACTTAGTATAACACGACCCCGACATCGTGAATATAAACTAAATATTTCCAGCACCTGGAGTAGGAGCGGGAAGAGGTGGGGTTACTGTGTGGCAGGTGATGTACTTATACTTATCGTTGTGCACAAAGGTACATGCAGAATTCAGCCCCACGACTGGACTGAGATCCTGAGACTAAGAACGACCAACTTGTTACAAACTAAATTATGTGGGCAATCTTGGAACCCTACGGAGGTGCATTTCAAAAGTCATGTCTTAACGCCAAAGCGCCAGAAACGCCACATATCGTTACTTACATACTACACCTGTCAATCACATCGGCTCACAGCGCGAAGCTCGAGCGTCGCTCACTATGTAACAGTCTATTTACAGTATAATTTCAGGGGCTAAGTGGGCGCACTGAGAGTGGTTGAGTATTCTGTGAGGCAATATGGGTATAAGCAGTTAGGAAAGACTAGCAGGTGCCCTATGTAAGTAAGGCCTTGATCGGGTAAAACAGTCGAACCCGTGGGCAACTGTAATTTATGTAAAATCGAGGTAAATGTAGTCACTCAGACTATTGTTTTGGACGCGGGAGCGCAGTTCGCACCGCCACAAGCGGTGCGTGTGGCTATACATGTGGCTAAGCCACATGTTACTAAATGTACCAATGTGGGTCTGCACTCTGCGTCTAAATAATAGTCTGGGACCGTACTGAACATTTTAGCAATGTTAGTTACTTTCTCTTATATAAATCGAAAAAATCAGCCGAGTTAACTCGCTTATATTTTAATTATAAAGCGGTTTTATAAGTGAAAATTTATCTTAGCGAGCTTAGACTTCTATCGGGTTGAAATGTGGCACGCCTGCGGCGGGGCTGGGCAAGCGTTAGTGCCGGCTGGCGCGCACTGGCCAGGACTGTCAAACGGCCCGTGCGTATGTATCTGTGAGTTGAAAACTGTTCCAAGACAATGCGCCGATTGTTCTTCTCGACCCCTGATTGGCCGTAGCCTCCCTGTAAAGGCCGTGCGCGAAAAGATACATTGTGAAGCTAGCGCAGCTGGCGCAGCCGGCTGCACCTGTTAAGAAGCGCACACTCGATCGGCGAATTGTGGTCTGAGGTACCGAGATAACTTCGTAAGCTTGGCGTGATTTGTAGCGGCACCCAATTGTTAGATGGAGCGCATGGAAAGCGGAACCCGGGCACGTGTTAGATCATGTGACCTATGGTCAGGGAGCGCTCATTGAACCAAGGCCAATTGGGCCTAGCCTACGGAGCGCTTACAAGCAGTGGGAAGTCCGTCGGAGTTCCCCAATATTCCAGTACTACTAGCCTCCCAGTCACAGTTGCAGTAGATTGATCAACAGGAATACCAAGATTGCAGTACCCAAGAAGATTGTTCCATTGATGCGCTGTGAGCCACACTTCCAACACCAATCGTGTCCGTTCCAGAACCCTGTTGCCAAGAAATTGAATTTGTTCACGCTTAAAGGGATACGCCCGCAAATGCTATATTTTGATCCCCTAATTGATCCATTGTGATCCCCCCCCACATGCTTTAACCAATGGCATTTCCCCATTGCGCCAAGTGTACCCACAACTCTTCTCAACAGCCACAAGC